AGAGAGAGGAGATGAGAGGAGAAGGAAGAGAGAGATCAGAGGAGAGAGAGATCAGAGGAGAGAGAGATCAGAGACAAAGAACATAACTCCCTTTTTGGAGTATTTCCTGAAATCCAGAGACCCCCTCACAACATGAGAGACCCCCTCACAGCATGAGAGACCCCCTCACAGCATGAGAGACCCCCTCACAGCATGAGAGACCCCCTCACAACATGAGAGACCCCCTCACAACATGAGAGACCCCCTCACAACATGAGAGACCCCCTCACAGCATGAGAGACCCCCTCACAGCATGAGAGACCCCCTCACAGCATGAGAGACCCCCTCTCAACATGAGAGACCCACTCACAGCATGAGAGGGGGTCTCTCATGCTGTGAGTGGGCATCAGGTGTGGCACCTTTGGGCCCTCATTTGTTATCTTTATGACAGAGGTAGACGCGCGCACACGCTCACGCACGCTCCCATATGACTCATCTTCACGTGTGAGCGCGCGCAGCCTCAGCCTCGGTATATAAACGTCCTGCTCCTGATCTTTCTAACTTTAGGCTGTTTCTGCAGAGAAGAGAAGGAGGGCGGCATCTCGCCAACACCTGCGACCCAAGAGGCTGACTGGACCCCAAGAGGCTGACTGGACCCCAAGAGGCTGACTGGACCCCAAGAGGCTGACTGGACCCCAAGAGGCTGACTGGACCCCAAGAGGCTGACTGGACCCCAAGAGGCTGACTGGACCCCAAGAGGCTGACTGGACCCCCAGAGAGACTAAGGTACGCAGACCATCCTTCATGCTTTCAGACGCATGTCCTTGTTTTCTAGCCAGGGTTTAACTCAATAAGAGGATTTGATTCAGGGTAAATGCAGCATGGAATAAACTGTGTCCAACATTGAGACCAAAATATGTATTTACGCGCGGATATTCCACGTCTTTATATAACTTCTGTTACGATAAAATAACACTTTGTCCATCGGTGCCACTCCGTGCCAGCACTGTGTCCAACATTGAGCAACAGATCTGTCTTTATGAGCAAATATTCCACGCATTATTCTTTTATTTCATTTCTACAAATGATAATGTACCCGTTTATACTTCGTTCCCACAGCGAGACATCCGTACAATCTGATAGCTTTAACCAAGTGGATTTGTTTCAGGGAGAATTCATAATGGAATAAACTGAACCAAACATCTGTGTTTACGCGCAGATGTTCCACATTGTGCTCCATCTCTCTGTTCTGCGCATTTTAAGATCCAGAACACTTTTATCCATAGTTGCCTCACCGTGTCTTTTCGGTGCGTAAATGTAAGGCTCCAAGTGGATCTGCTCTGGAGTCTGCTCTGTATTCTCTAACTTGTATTTGCAGCATAGATTTAGCCAAACTCTTCATTTTTAACGCGCAACTATCCCACATTTCTGGAGATGTTATTCACAACATAAATGGTTTTTTTTCGTGCGTAAACTAAGATAAGATAAGACTTTATTTATCCCGAAGGAAATGGTTGTGCCAGATACAACAATACAACAAACACATTCAGCTCCTCAGCACATTTCATCCGAGAGTTCTGATCTAAATACTAACGCAGTTGTTTCGCTCCGCAGATTCCTGTTGATATCCTGACATGAAGCTCAATGCATTTGGCACCACCGTGATTCTGCTAGTTGCCTTCTTACCGCGCTACGGATGTCGGGCCATTGAGAGTCCTGGCGGTGCCCAGCAGCAGCAGCCCGGTCCCGTAGTGGAGCGGCTCGGGGAGGAGTATTTCATCCGGCTGAGGAACACCGGGGACTCTTCTAACTCTTTCCCAGCCATGACGCTCCCCTCCGGGCTGAACAGAGCGCTGCAGCTCACGCGGCGCCTCCTTCAGGGGAACGTTGGGAACATCAGGGCGATCCTTGGAGACGATGAGGAGTCCATGGAGAGAGGAAGGAGGTCCGAAGACCCTCCGATCTCTCTGGACCTGACCTTCCACCTGCTGAGGGAGATGATGGAGATGTCCAAGGCGGAGCAGATGGTGCAGCAGGCGCAAAACAACAGAAGAATGATGGAGCTGTTCGGGAAGTGAAGCGCCAAAGATCTCCTCCTCCTCCTCCTCTTCCTCCACCATCAGTGCTGCTGTGTCACTCTTATTTAAAGCTTCACCCTCACACTGCGGAGTTAATGTCGATCACTTATTCTTCATGACAAATACACTTTGTTTTAGATTCTGAACCCTGTATTTATGAGATGTATGTTTGTTAATAAACTTATGTGCAACCAGTCATGTTCTGTTGTGCAAGACAACGTCTTATATCTATATTTTAAATAAAAAAATGAAAAGCAATGCTTACACTTCTCTGTGGATATCCTTACATATAAAACCCAGCTGCTAATGATATTAACAAACATGTTCATTTCCAATCTCACATTTTCAGGAAAGTGAAACACAAACATCACTGAATATAAACAACATGGTGTAACATTAATGTGGAGCCAAGTCGTGGGTTAGTGCCTCCACACACACACACACACACACACACACACACACACACACACACACACACACACACACACACACACACACACACACACACACACACACACACACACACACACACACACACACACACACACACACACACACACACACACACAACACACAACCACCACACACACACTGCAGCTCATCTTCATTACACCAGTGTGTGTGTGTGTGTGTGTGTGTGTGTGTGTGTGTGTGTGTGTGTGTGTGTGTGTGTGTGGGGGGGGGGGGGGGGGGGGGGGGGGTCAGAGACCTGCAGGCCTGAGTCTCCAGGATGTAAATACTCTCTGGAATTCCTTTGACGGAGATAAATGAAATCAGTGTGAAGAGCGGATCAAATATATTTCCTTTACACGTGAAAACACACACACACACACACACACACACACACACACACACACACACACACTGGCTCTCCATCTGAACATAACACAGGTTTTTAATTCTGCTTTAGTCCAGTTCAACAAAAGAAAGCAGACACTGTTTGCAGCTTTAATGAAACATAGTATTCACTACATGGCATAACGTGGTGTTTTGTTCCAACAGGGGAACACATACCTGCAGCACAGACCTGCAGCACAGACCTGCAGCACATACCTGCAGCACAGACCTGCAGCACAGACCTGCAGCACATACCTGCAGCACATACCTGCAGCACATACCTGCAGCACAGACCTGCAGCACATACCTGCAGCACAGACCTGCAGCACATACCTGCAGCACAGACCTGCAGCACAGACTACAGGCGGCATGAAATGGTGAAAATGTCACAGCGATAAAGTTTTATCAGTCATAAAAAAGAATACGAGCGGGAGGGAAAGCTAATGGAGCAGAGAAAGGTCAGAGAAACAACCAGGACATGTAGAGGAAAGCAGAAACACTGATCCTTTAGTCACCGAAACACAGTGGGGGGGTGTTTCTCAATCGCGAGTAAAGCTGCTTCAGAGCCACTATTTCAAGCATACTACGTCATCGAGTGCCGCCGAAGTACTGTTCCAATCTCCAGCATACTTGGAAATCTACCGAGCCCGGCGTACTCCGTTTGGAGAAATATCGAGTGTGCACATGAGTAGACTCCGCGGTCTTAAAATCCCCACAATGCTTTGCGCACGGACCAATTTCCCCAAATCTGTGACGGAACATGTAAGAGGCGGGGCCTCTCATATGACGCACACCTGCACACTTGCTAGCGTGTTCCACTCTTTGTTTTCCGAATGCCAGGAAGGATTCTTGACTCTCTTCTGAAGCAAGATGCTCGGCAGACATGTGCTACCAAGCAAGCGTACTCGCGATTGAGAAACACCTCTTCCTCAGAAACACCTGAGAAACACCTGGAGAAACACCTGGAGAAACACCTGGAGAAACACCTGGAGAAACACCTGGAGAAACACCTGGAGAAAACACCTGGAGAAACACCTGGAGATCCTCTGATGTTTGGTGTTTTTCAGGTAGAGGTGGAGGCTGAGTGAGACGTGACAGGAGCCTCCCCCTCTCCATCTTCATCATCTTCATCCTCGTCTTCATCGTCTGAGGAGAGAGCAGCACAGGTGAGAGAGCAGCACAGGTGAGAGAGCAGCGCAGGTGAGAGAGCAGCACAGGTGAGAGAGCAGCGCAGGTGAGAGAGCAGCACAGGTGAGAGAGCAGCACAGGTGAGAGAGCAGAACAGGTGAGAGAGCAGCACAGGTGAGAGAGCAGCGCAGGTGAGAGAGCAGAACAGGTGAGAGAGCAGCACAGGTGAGAGAGCAGAACAGGTGAGAGAGCAGCACAGGTGAGAGAGCAGCACAGGTGAGAGAGCAGCACAGGTGAGAGAGCAGAACAGGTGAGAGAGCAGCACAGGTGAGAGAGCAGAACAGGTGAGAGAGCAGCACAGGTGAGAGAGCAGCACAGGTGAGAGAGCAGCACAGGTGAGAGAGCAGCACAGGTGAGAGAGCAGCACAGGTGAGAGAGCAGCGCAGGTGAGAGAGCAGAACAGGTGAGAGAGCAACGCAGGTGAGAGAGCAGCACAGGTGAGAGAGCAGCGCAGGTGAGAGAGCAGAACAGGTGAGGAGAGCAGCACAGGTGAGAGAGCAGCACAGGTGAGAGAGCAGCACAGGTGAGAGAGCAGCACAGGTGAGAGAGCAGCGCAGGTGAGAGAGCAGCACAGGTGAGAGAGCAGCACAGGTGAGAGAGCAGCACAGGTGAGAGAGCAGCACAGGTGAGAGAGCAGCGCAGGTGAGAGAGCAGCGACTGCCTTTATTCTTTACTTTAGAATATGTTTTATTGAAGGAATCTGTAGATCTGTAAATCTAATAGGGGTCTGAAGGGGGTCTGAAGGGGTCTGAAGGGGGTCTGAAGGGGGTCTGAAGGGGGTCTGAAGGGGTCTGAAGGGGTCTGAAGGGGGTCTGAAGGGGGTCTGAAGGGGTCTGAAGGGGGTCTGAGTGGTCTGAGTGGTCTGAAGGGGTCTGAAGGGGGTCTGAAGGGGGTCTGAAGGGGGTCTGAAGGGGTCTGAAGGGGTCTGAAGGGGGTCTGAAGGGGTTCCTGAAGGGGTCTGAAGGGGGTCTGAAGGGGGTCTGAAGGGGTCCTGAAGGGGTCTCTGAAGGGGGTCTGAGGGGGTCTGAAGGGGGTCTGAAGGGGTCTGAAGGGGGTCTGAAGGGGTCCTGAAGGGGGTCTGAAGGGGTCTGAAGGGGTCTGAAGGGGTCTGAAAGGGGTCTGAATGGTCTGAAGGGGTCTGAAGGGGGTCTGAAGGGGGTCTGAAGGGGTCTGAAGGGGTCTGAAGGGGTCTGAAGGGGGTCTGAAGGGGGTCTGAAGGGGTCTGAAGGGGTCTGAAGGGGGTCTGAAGGGGGTCTGAGGGGGGTCTGAAGGGGTCTGAAGGGGTCTGAAGGGGTCTGTGTGAATGCTGTTTGCAGCGTTCCACTAAAGTTCTTTGATCTTCAAATCAACTCAATAACTCTGATTCTCACCCTGCAGGAAGTCGAGGCTCTTCAGCGCTCGGCCCTCCTTCGTGAATTCAACGCTGAAGTGATCCATGTTCTCATATCCTCGCTCCACTTTATCCAGGTGAGCCGTGCTGCAGGCGTCCGTGAGCCTGGAGAGAGACAGGTGGATCAGAATCTATTGATCAGACTCAATCTATTGATCAGACTCAATCTATTGATCCCAGATCGGGGAGTAGCTTTTAACCCCTTTGCACCCGGCACTCTCCCGGTCAAATTGGCTCGAGACATTGAGGTCTAAAAACATTTAAGAATCATTTGTGATAAAGTGATGTGTAAAAAAAAAGCCACAACGGAAATGATGTCCACATTTTGCACCCGTTTGAACCGTTAGGGTCAGATGAACATATAAAGGCTCTAATATATATCTTCTTTATCTTAATTCCTAACAACATATGAAGCGTCTATAAATAGTGTTTGCAAATTCTCAAGTAGAAGTGAAAATAAGTTTCATTCGTGTTAAAGTTTTATGTAAAAACCCACCTCCAAAATAATAAAGACTGCATCCAACAATATATAAATAACATGAAATCAGGTCAGACTGACTCGAGACATTGAGGTCAGAAAGATAGACACAATAGTTACTATGCATGATATCAAATACACATTTAAATGTTACTTCTCATGCAGCCTGTTCGACGTCTCTCTGTTTCCATCGTGATGAAGTTAGACTGCTTATCCAACAATATAGAGATGACATTACATGAACAAGCATGACGCAGAGTTTGAGTTCAGTCCCAGTTTGAGTGCTTTTCATCGAGGTGTTGTTATATATTTATATATATTTATATCAGACTGTGATCAGGAGTTATTCCTGGAAGTCTCCGCTAATGATTTGATGCTTTTCACAGAGCAGGTGTTACATTTGAACAAAGAAAGAGCAGCTGGGAAGACGTCACACACATTGTTACTTTCTAATAACTCAGGTAGGAGCTGGAGGGCAGAGGTACAGATGCTTTTCCACCTGTGGGCCACCGTAGTTACTCCGAATATCCCACAAGTTACTTCTTATTGACTTCAAATGACATTTGGTTATCTTCTTCTAATTATTAGACATCTTACAAAAACATGTACTCACTTTTTGAGCAGAGGCTTGGTGTTCTGTAGGAGAGAAACACAAACACACACTCAGCGTCACACACTGATCTCCATGTGTTTCATCATTTAAACCGTATTGTATTCAGTCTGAATGTACACTATTTCTGTTCTTATTCTGTTCTTGTACATATCATATTCTATTTACATATATATAGACTTCTTGCACTACTTTGTATTGTATTTGATTATATATGTTGCATCGTTGGAGGAGCTCAGGTCAGAAGGAGGTCATTGCCATTGATTCAAAGATTGAAAGGTTTTATTGTCATATGCACATAAGAGTATAGAAGTAATACAAATACAAAATAGTGCAAGAAGTCGATATTCACGTAAACAGAATATGAGATATACAAGAACAGAATGTAACATGAAATATTGTTCATTATAACAAAAGTCGATACGGTTTGTTGCTGTGATAACTGTTTAGATAAATGAGTAAGTCGACTCAGTGGAGGAAGAAGTCTCTGATTGGACGAAAGGAACAGTCTATCTTTTAATGGTAGGTTTATTCTAACAGTGAGAGTAAGAATCCAGACATTGACATTATATCAAAGATCAAGTTGATTTGCATTTAACTGAGGGAAATTGATCCCCTTGCAGAACACGTGTTAGAACTTGGTAACTATTTAGATAAATGAGTAGATGACAAACAGATGAATGTTTGAGGAGGCACGTTCCAGAGCTCAGGTGTTTAGCAGTCTGTGCATAGGACAGTTTGAAGTGTGTGTGTGTGTGTGTGTGTGTGTGTGTGTGTGTGTGTGTGTGTGTGTGTGTGTGTGTGTCCTGGTCTCACCTGCAGGAACAGAGCCATCTCCGGCTCCTCCATGTTCTGGATGCCGTGCTCCACCATCTTGCAGCTCTCCTCCAGATGTTCTCCGTACTTCTTGTTCAGTCCTCTGATGTACGTCAGCTTCTCGTCCTGCTCCGACGTCACTTTCTGACTCATGTCTCTCTTCTTCCCCTCCAGCACCGAGTACAGGAGGTCGAACTTCTCACACACCAGAGTCTTCTGCCGCCGGCCGTTCTCCTGCACACACACACACACACACACACACACACACACACACACACACACACACACACACACACACACACACACACACACCACACACACACACACACACACACACACACACACACACACACACACCCACACACACAACACACACACACACACACACACACACACACACACACACACACACACACACACACACACACACACACACACACACACACAACACACACACACACCACACACACACACACACACACACACACACACACACACACACACACACACACACACACACCCCAGGTCAGTATCTTGTATTTTCTTAAATAGGCAAATCAAGTTTTTAAGACTATTTTAATGCCATTCGAAAATATATTTAAGACGGATCAACCATATTTAATGTTGTCTTAATGTGTGTAGAGATCTGTCCTGCAGCGTGAGTGTGTGTGTGTGTGTGTGTGTGTGTGTGTGTGTGTGTGTGTGTGTGTGTGTGTGTGTGTGTGTGTGTGTGTGTGTGTGTGTGTGTGTGTGTGTGTGTGTGTGTGTGACCTCTATGACCCTGCAGGCCTCCTCCAGCTGGCTGACGATGCCCTGCATGCGGTCGTTGTTCCCCACCATCATGGCGATCCCGTCACTCAGCTCCGACTGAGAGGAAAACACAGAGAGAGGAGGAGGAGACGTTACAGTAGAGATTTGCAAATATGACAAGAACATTTGTACTCAACATTTAAGTATCAGTGCTAAAATATAGAGAAAATAGTTATTATGCATGATATGAAATACATGTTTAAATGTTATTTCTGATGCACTTTGCAGACTGTTGAACTCGTCTCTCTGTTTCCCTCTCAGGAGTTCTGCTCTGACCTCCTTGGTCTGGTAGATGCTGGAGACGTTCAAAGTAAAGTACCAGCACCCAAATATACATCAAGTAGTTATTCATATGCATGATATAACGTACATGCATTTTGCAGACTTTTGGACACACGTCT